AAAATAGTAACAACAACCACAATAACGCAGAGCACAGCAATGATGACGATGACAACAACGGCAACAGCAACAGCAACAGCAATTGCAACAACAGCAACAGTAATAGTGTCTTCCTCGTTTATTTTTTTGTTTTTGTTTTTTATTTTCTTTTTGCTTTCTTTACAAGTGACACACACAGAGCATTCAAGTGAACTTTATTATCCGCTTTTGTTGTTGTTGATTTGTTGCATTACTTGGTTGCGCTGTTTTACATCCCGGTTTTTGCACACATAACTAAATTTTCCTTAAATTAAGTTACTAATATATGTACATATACATATACATATACACATCTATACATACCATAAATGAAAGTCATAATCATCGTAGTCATTCTCTGGCTTAACACACACACACACACACAAAACAATTTCATGCATAACGTTTGCATTGCTACTACAGCAACCATTGCGTTCACTATATAAAATTGGCTTTGTGTTGCACTTTAGTTATTGCCAGTAACATTTTCTGACATCTTATCGTTTTATAAGCTAAAATTTATTATATCAACTAGATCGAAATATTCTGCAAGTAAACCGTTTTTCTTCTTTTAATTTACTTTTATTTTAATTTTTCCCTTCTCTCCCTTCTCCCGGTACCCGAACGCAACTGTTTTATGTTTATCTTTTTTTTTTCGTATAACTAGCTGAAAGAATGCATAAAGTTGAGAAAAAAAAAAAAACAAAACGGAGGAAAATAACAGGAAAACACCTCCTTTGCTTTACTACGTTTGATGTTGAAAGTTTTCTTTACTTACGTGTGCTAAGGGTTTCAAGCTCTCTTAAGATACCTGTAACTAGTTAAATAAAAGTATATGGGTGGGTGGGTATAAGTGGCTTTGTCATGTTTTAGTGATTACTTAAAATGAATTTTCTTTTTCTTTTTGCGCTCAGTGTTTAAAAACAAAATTCTTTAGAAACTAAAGACATATACGTAGATATGAATATAAATGTGTTTACATGTATGAATATATGGATGGCATACTTCGTTTTCTTCATTTACTATACATCATCATAAACTAAACTTTGCTGGCGGGCTCTATTCAAAAACTTTTATTATATTGTTGCTTACAATAGAGAGAAAAACTTTCTCAATTTTTTTTTTTTTTATTTTTTTTACGTGTATCCACTATCGTAAGATGGAAACATTCTAACGCTGTCGTTTCGTTGGTGACATTCGAAGCTCAACCCGAGAAACCAATTCAGTCATTTCCATGTGTTCATCCGTCCCTCTGTCTATATATTGACTCGTCTGTTGTTGCTGAGAAAAAGCTAAAAATAAATATACAGGATTATCCAGCGGGTAAGGTAACCGATACATTTGGATCTTTTTCGATACTTTTACTAACAGCACCAATATCTTAGCTTGAGGGTGTGTTCTAACAAATCGCTTACAGATCTAGTTTTTTCCAATTTCTTTCCAGTCTTGTCTATAGTGCGCTCAGTTGGGCGATTATGTCGAACACAATCTGCTCGTAATGCCAAAAACCTATCTACTACAGAATCAGCATTTACGTCGAAAATTTTTATTAATTCAACACGTTCAGTGGTTGTTACACATTACACTGAACATGCGATGAAGAGGGTTTCCGCAACCAAGCCAATATATAGATAACTTACTTATTCGGATCTCAATCAAGTTTTAAATTTAGCTTTAATTCGCTCAAAAAAGTACTCAACATTTTGAGAACTCGGCAATAATTTCACTAAAAGCCTAATCTTTCAATGCCTTTTCGCCTAAAGCTATTTAGGATCTTAAGTAATGCTCCGATTTTAGCAGCGAGTTGTTTATAAAAGATTGTATTGTTTGAAGATCAAAACTCTATTAATTCTGTTCATATTCATCCACTCTTAATCGTAGTTCAAGCTCCAAGTCTAACTCAAAAAATAAATCTAACTCGAGTTATAAATCTAGGTCTAACTAGGCTTGAACCTCTAATTGCAAATCTAACTTTATTCCTAACTCTAAGCTTAGCTTTGTAAATCACTTATAGTATAATTCTCCTATGTTGTAGACATGTTATACCAGGAGTAGTTTAGTATTCTAACGATGAGATGTGTAACGTTCTCGCCTATTTAGGTCGATATCTTTTAAATCATCGAATAAAGAATATTTGGAAGAGAAATTATGGTTCTATCATTTCGTTCTTTCCTTCTTCTTCCTACCCAACCCTTGTATTTGCTTTATAACAAAGAAATTGAATAAGATTAGTATCAAGTGAGGCTGCAAATGACTTACGATAATCAAACCGCAGCTTTTGAGTCGCATAAAGTAAAGCGCAATTTTTCATAGGTTTTTTATTATCCTTTAATATCTTTCCTTGCTACGAGGTTCAGAGCGTAAACGGCGATTAAATAAAATTTCTAAAAAATCCCTTTACTTTAGAAGGTCTCTAATGTAGATGTTGCGAAGCGCTTGTACCATTTAGAATAACTTGATGGCGATAAAAGTTTATTTTCCCCAACCAGAATATTGATATTATCGTTGTGCACATGTATTTGCGTTCGTCTATAGCTTTGTAATAACGTATAAATATAATTTGTGTCTTCCAGGTGCAATTTAAGACTGAGAGGAAGTTTTTTTAGAACTTCATCTTATCAGTGTTGTTGAAATTTGAGAAGAAAGCAAAAATAAAAGCAATATCAAAAGAAACAAGAAGAGATTAAAATAGAAA